AATATCTTTGAAATCTTCTGCTGAGGTGAACTTCAGGAACAACGTTAAAAAAAAAACCTGTTGAATTTAATGAGTGAACCCTACACCTGAAAAACATCCAGAAAAAAAAAAAATTGCAATATATACCATCTTTTCACTTGCTAGAAAAACAGAACCCTGAGAAAAGAAATTCTGATTTTTTTAATGTATTTCTTCCCAGCCTGTCTTCTATCTGTGCTATGTGGTGAACATGGATATTCTTGCAAGTTAGTTGATTACGTTGTTGCAGAGCGAGTTGATAGCGTACCAACAACAAGCAAAAAAGCTGGTTCTGCTTGGTTACAAATGCAAACAAAAGCCAAAACATGCCATTGAAAATACCTCCTTCGTATTTAAAAAAAAAAACAAACCCCACACTATTAAAATTTAAGTGTTCTGTGGATCACAGCAGAGGTCAGCCAGTAATGTAAATAAAGGTTGGTCATGGATTACTTGTAAGCCAAAGAAGTATATGCCCTCTGTACCTTTGGAAGATGTGACCTTACTTTGACTAATGAAGTGCTCAAGCCAAAGAAGCATTGGTCACCCCAAAACAGATTTAAGATTTTTTTGGCAGTGGTGATGTGGACACTGGATTCCTAACTATCACCCAAAAAAAAAAAAAAAAAGAAGCTAAAACTGTAAGTCTATTTAATAATTAACTTTAAGCTGATTTCTAGGCTACTCTCATTCTTCCTAGCCCTGCCTCTTCCAACCACAGAGCCTGCGGAGGCACAGCGGAGGTGGTGGCCCCTCTCCCTGGTGCTGCAAGCAAGGGTCTCGGAGGTGGAGTGTGACAAGGCGAGTTTGAGCCCTGTGGCAGCTGTGTGGAGCTCCAGGTCCAGGCCCCCTCCCCCTTGCATGCCCTTTGACTGTTTGTGTGCGCACATGTGGGTATGGGGACAAAAATGAGAAAAAAAAAACAAAAAAAAACCACACAAAACCCAGGTATGGACAAGATTTTTGTGCGTGTCTCTTTGGGCACTACTTTATGCTAGTAATTTGTTTAAAAAAACTGTGCAGGCAGTTGGCAGAAATGGTTCCAGACCATAACTCTTGGGTTTTTTAACGTTAAATATTTAAAAGAAAAGTGAAGTACCCGTTTTAAACTGGAGTGCAGTGGATATGGTTGCAGGAGCAGGTGAGTGCCAGAAGAGGCTTGATTAAACGAATCCCTTTTTATTGTCGGCAGAAGCTGATTGTGTCGTGCAGGAGCTCAGAGTTAACCTCCATATCTATCAGCATGTGGCTCTGGAGGCTCCCTGGGCATGGACAGGCGCAGGCTGAGCGCGGGGTGAGGCAGTGTCTGTGCCGCACAGCTGGCACCGGAGCTCTGTTCACCCGTGCTTGACATTGACCCGACTGCCAAACAGATCTTGTGTTGCGAATAACTTGAGCGGTGTATTGAAATCAGCTGTCTACCTGTGCAGTAACAACAATTTTTTTTAATACCTATGAATAACTAATGGCACACCTTAAGGGACTGACCAGGCATAAACAAGATTCTCTGCCTCGCATTGTGCAGTGAAGTGATGGAGACCGACACTGTCACTGGATGATGTTAAACTACCCTCAAGTAAGAAGAGGAGTCTTAACATTCATTTAGTATTTCACTGGAGCTACTTCTCAGATAAATTATCCCCAATGCTCCTATGTCACAGTTGCATCATTCCTTTTTTTTTTTTCCATTTTAAATACCTTTTACATTTGTTTTCAGAAGCACTTCTAGTGAGTGATGCAACACCCCAAGTAGTACAACCAACTGCCTTTGAGAAAGGAATGTCATTTGTGGACAGGTCTGTTTTACTTCTGATTTAGTTGGAAAAAGGTCCATACTACATGTGGTTTGGGGAAGAAAAAAAAGGAAAATATCTTCCCAGCCATGTAGAATTTGGCAAGACTTCCTGAAAAATGTAAATTTCTTAAGAACTCGTGGCTCTGGGTCATGAGACAGACTGAGCTGTAGACTAGGAATGAGGTTTCACTGGCAGAAGAAAGAATAATACTGTTGAAGTCCAACACGCGATCTACTTTTGCGGGAGAGGCCACAGCCCAGGCCAGACCATTGGCATTCACAAGATAATGCCCCACTGTACTGTGGGGAGTTGTTGTCTGCTTGGGATTTCAGGAGTTTTAGTAAAGGCTGCAGAAATATTTTTAGCAATGGTTATTTCAAACAATTTTATCAGGATCGGGTGCAAGCCAGTGTAACAATAGCTTCTCTCATCAGTGGAAACATTTACCTGCTAAATAACTAGTGGCACACACCTTGCACCTTAAATTTCAAGACAAAGGAACCTGGCAGGGACTCAGCTTTTCAAATACATAAAGATTGGTGTAAACTGCACCAGGTGAGCTTTGCTCTCTCCAGCGCACATTTTACTATGTGAGAAGGCACTGTACTTAAGTTCAGTATCAAAAAGCACCTCAATGAAAAGCATGGTACCAGACCAGGTGGTGGTGGTGACAGATTCACAGGTGAGGGGAGCCCTTGGAAGCAAAGCCTACTTAAAAGAGGCTTTTCTTTTGTACAGAAAAATAAAATATGTGCTGGCTTGTATTACTTAAATCCAAATCTTCAAACTGACCAAGGTCGGTAAGGCAATCCGATCAATCAGAATTTGTCAGCATTCCTGCTATATGTACGCGATTCCTCACCTTCCCAGTCAGCTTAACATCCTCCACTGTGTCCTGATCATAGAATGAAACTAAAATATCCCCATGTATTTACAGTCTCCTTTCCTGGGATCCTTTCTCAGACCCTCATTGCCCAGCAAGGAAGAAAGACCATTTCAGTAGTTCAGGGCTGGAATTCAGTGGGCCAGTCACATGAAATGGTAGAAACATGTAAGTGGATCTGCTTTTCCAGTCAATGGAAAGCAGATTAAGATCCAGGCCCTGGTATATTTCCCCACTGGAGTTAAAGGAGGCAGATAAGGTTTTTTCCTTCTTCTATTTCTTCTTGCACTTTGTCACTTGATGTGGCTATTTCAGCTTGCGCCGAGAAGACCGCACAGATGAATGTCAGAACAGTGCCACCAATAGCTGTGTAGAAAGCCCAGCCCAAGGAGCAGTCTCCTGGTTTGTAAGCAGAAGCATAAGGTCCACAGTAGCTTATTGCTTTCTGGCATCCCCAACCTGCAGGGTAAAGTATCAAGCCTAAGATAAGGAAAAGGCCTAGAAAGAAAAGAAAAGAAAAGAAAAAAAAGTTTAACAAATTACCAGTTTAACATGAAATGCAACACATGTAGTAATGGTCACTGCTTACTCCTAAGTACCAGGATTAGGAGAAGATGACTCTTCCTCATGCATCCAGCTTTCCTTTACCGGTGGTTCCCTAGTACATACCATGCAGTGTTGTACCTAAACCTGGACCTATCCTGTAATTTTTTTCTTGCGAAAGTCTTATTTCATATGATAATGGACTAGTTCCTAATTTTAATCTCTGTATTCCTTGTTTTCCTATGTTTTCACACATTATTACTAGGTATACAGAGCTTGCAGAACATTCAAGCATCTCTACCCACTGCGTATACCCACACTTTTCAAATACTTGGGAGTGTTTGCATCCACTTTTGAGTTTCTTTTTAGCTAGCCCTCATTCAGCTTTATGTAGTCACTTATCATAAACACTTTGGGATTTTTTTCCTCAGGATTTTTTCCTACAGTGTTTTTATTGCCTGAGTTAAAAAAATAAATAAATCTCCCACTGCATCCACTTATTTGGCCAGGCTAGGACATAGTAGGAAAATAATACTTCCAATTCAGAATTATTGCTTTCGTAACGAGGGCGTTCCAGAGTTGGCCCCAAATGACCAGATCTAAGCACTCAAAGCCAGTGCACAGGTAACACTGGGATCCTCTGAACAGGCGATCAACGGCCATGAAAGGAAAGCCCATTTCTAGTGATGCAGGAGCAAAAGCCTCTACTCCCCACCTTGCTAAACTGCGCCAACAGCCGCCTGTTCTTAAGGCTGGAGTAAAAAGCTCAGACTAGGTATTTTGCTCTTGAGACCATCTCTCGTACTCATAGTTTTCTCTCCTACAAGGACGAGTCTTCATCTAATCCCTCATTAAGGAAATTAAAAATCACATTAGGTTCCCTGCACACATGATGCAGTTTTGCAGAAAGATCAGAGATTTAATCAAAATGCGTAATATGCTTGTGGCTGCAGCAGTCTCTTACAAGCCCTGCTAAAAAAAACCCCACAGTGAGCTAAAAACAGATCTCCCTCCTACAAGGTATATAGGAAGGTGCTAAACATCAGGACAGCTCATACGTATCAGAATGTGCATTCTGTTTTCTTCAGAATTTTACTCAGAAGAACAAGAAGAATTATGAAACGCAGTTTTTCCTTGAATACAATCAGTTTATCCAGAAAATGAACACAGCCTTGCAGATCCCATAAATATTACAGATTTATTTGTCCTGCGCTGTAATGCCCTTTATTCAACCTGGCACCTTGACAAAAATACCTGGTAGAGGTGCTGTCACCTTCCAGAAGTGGGCTGAAAGCTGTGCTTTTTATATACGGTGCTGCTTCATACATTAGGTTTTATCCCAAAATTTCTACCAATTAATAAAATAGTAAACTCTTCTTTTTTCTGTATACTAAGAGATCACCAAGAACAGCTTGGTAGTCTTGGTAAAGACTTGTTTGCATCTTCTTCATTTCCATCAGACTAGCCTGTTCTGCAGCATGTTCAGTTTCCTTAGTTGTTTACAGAAATTCAGCCAGATGCAAGAAAACTTCCTCACCAAGAAAGAAGAGCTGGATCCTAGCTAGTAAGCAGTTAATTTACACAAAATGCAAAAACTGTTATCCAACTGTCTAAAATTATAATTGTCTATGAATGCCAGACATTTCACAAAAGAAAGTCCTTCCTTCAGCGTTTTTCTAACGATGACACACCACCATGGGCATGAATGAACTAAATGTCATTATTCTTTGGGGCGGCAAAATCCATTAGCGAGTGATATCCATTCTGTGTGAAGGGATTTCATTGCTGCTTACATTTAAGAACCAATGACAAATTTTATGCAGTGTTTCCTGGCTGATGGGCCAAACTACATTAAGTATTGCTTTATCTTGGACAGACCTGGATAAGCTGTGCTTTCATCCTGCTGAGCCCTGCAGCCGTTTCAGACTAAACACCAGCAGTTCCTTCTCCCCTATTCATCACTAGTTTCCTGTCCCTGCGTAACTGGCATGGCCACACCGTGTGTTTTTCTGACTGTACATTGGTACAGGCCAGTTGTCATTTTCAACCACAAGCCCTTTGGTAGTTAAAACTCACCATCACTGTGAAGCCACTGTAGCTGCTGCCACAGTTGTTTTAAGTTTACCACTCCATCACTCACAAACCTAGAGAGCCTATATTTAACAGCAAACCTGGCTTACAGCTGAGTCAGAAGCAGGACTAGAGCTATATCTGTCTCTTTTTACTAAACAACTAAACAACTCCTGAAAGCTACTGTTTCACAGTATGTATAGCCCGAGCTGAAAAGCCACCACCCAAAACTCAGCCCCCCGAAAGGCTGCAGCACTGCTGTCATGCATAGTCATCAGGACTTCACAGAATTAAAACTTTTTTTTGTTTTAAGAATACAGAAAATTCTTGGAGAAATACTGACTACACATAATTTGCAAAACTACAGCTGTTTTGTCACAGATGAAGACACAACTTGGAGAGGTCTTAACTATGCACTATGACCTTCCATGATTTTTCCTTTCAGATAGCCAGCTTTGTGAAACCTATATTGGTCTAGCATAACACAAGAAAAAAACTTGTTTTCACTACTAGACCTGCCTTTTACTACTCCATTTCAGTGTAGACAGACAGCTCAGAACATGCACTTCTTCTCACTATCACTAATATTTATCATCATTTCTCATTTCATTAATACCTGGCTCCTACTTGCTAGGAAAAATGAATTAAGATGACTGAATTGAGCCAATCCAACACATTCGCAACTGAAATGGCACTCCTTGGATATCATGCAGGCTGAGTGTGTGTGGAGGGGCACAGGCTCCATCACATACTCAGCTCGGAGATCCAACACCAGGAGAAACTGCTGAGGCGTGTGGGGTTCAGAGACCTCTTCAGGACTCTCCCTACCTGCCCCAAAAGAGGCGCTCAAGTAAAAAGATCCAGAGGAGCTTTGGTTCCTGCAACTATACAAGAGATTCACAGGCTACAGAGCTCATCTCAGTGACTCCTGCAGGTTAAACAAAATAGAAAATGCTTTACCACCTACAAAAGAGCAAACTATGGACGAAAGTAGAACCAAGCAATCCAAAGCAAATTAAGTCCAGTAGCGTGTAGCCAGAGGAGCATCTTCCAGACCCCTGAATAAGAGCCAGCTCTCTCTTCCTAGGAAAATGGATGCAGAGGGAAGGAAAAAAGCTCACATGCAAAGGACAAAGTTAATGCATAGCAGGGGTGGCGAGGGCAGAAGAGGTTGTGATGCTGCTTGGAAAGTCACGGTCTGCTTTCAAACAGGTGAAACAGTTAAAACGCAATAAAAAATAGCTCAGCAGTCACTGTCCTCTTCCATCTTTGACCTAAGGAGCACCGCACAACCATTTTGTGCTACATGAGAAAGCCAGAGGGCTGTTTCAACAACTAACAGCATAGCCTTGATCAACATGCAAACACTTGGAAGCAACTGCAGTTGAGCAAAAACGACTTACAGGCCAGTCTGCATCCACAAGGGGAAAAAACCATGGTAAATTCTCAGCACAGCTTTCCCATTAGCAGTGTCCACAGGGCAGAGCCTAGCCAGGTCCCTTTACATCTCTGCTTCTGATAGAAGTTTCAGCTTAACTGCCTGTATCCCTGCCTTTCTGTAGCTGCTGCTTGGTCCCTGGGGCTCACCTGCCTGCAGCTCTCATTTTGGTTATATATTTGCATTACTACAGAGCCTGGCAGCTCTGCTCAGAGTTTCTGTCTCCGATAGCTCACAGTCTTTTTTCAGACAAGACGCACAGCGATCAAGCGTAAGGCACAAGTGAGATAACCTCCAGAGGCATACCAGCAACAGCTTCATTGAATCCACAGCCTGCCGGTCACCACATTTTTCTTTCACAGCCTCTGCAACAAGACAGTCTTAAGCAAAATGTCAAAGTTGGAGAAACAAGGTTTCAGTTGTTTGCATGAATGAAACACGGCAAAGAGCATGGCCTGGAGCTTTGAGGAGCTGGAAAGGGGAATCAAGCACCTCATCCCTGGTGTTCACTTACATCACAGAAGAACACAAGACCAGCTCCAAGTACACTATACAAATTTATGTGCAAAAGTTGCTCTCTGGATAGTTTAACTGTTACAATTCTCAGATTTCTGCAGTTTGATTCAGTTATTCTACTGCTTGAACCATTCAAGTACTACTTCTGTATTGTCAGCTTTCTATGGCATTTAATGCTGTAAATTAGGATTACAGCACTTGAATTTTTGTTAGCCATAGAAGTAAAAGCTCGGTTTTGTGCTGTGTAATTTTATGTCAGCGTATTCTCATAAAACAACAATTATCTCCTGTTGACAGTTTGCCTTGAGAAATATCTGGGAGGACGACAGTAAATATTAATGATAGAGATTTCTTTTTCTTAATTAATCAGTTTTTGCTCTTGCCTCAGCATCTTAGAAGAGAAGCCAATCTTTAAGAGAAAGAACAGATAACAAAAATAGAGTAACTCAGACTGAAGGAAGGTTTTCTGCCATGAATCCTTTGAGTTCTTCATGCTGACATACAGTAAATTAGAGTTTTAATTCACAGTCAAACTACCTCTAGAATTATTGCCATTTACTCCCCCTGCTGGGGGAGCAATCTCATTTTGAAAACATTAAAAGCTCTTTTCCACTGTGCTCCTCTACAGGCTCACAGACCTCAGGCTTCCTCTGTTCTAGATTTCACCCCCTCTTCTGAGCACAGCTGCAGCACAAGACTGCACAAGAAGTCTTGTTCCTACTTCTCAATTAGCTCTGTCCCACTTCTTTAAACCAGTATGCTAATTTTTTTCATAATTACATTTTCCTGTTTGTTAGTTGTTGCCAGCTCTCAGTTACCTTTCCTTTCTGCGATTCTTTAAAACAGAGGTCTGAAAGAATGCTACACAATGCTGCCAGATGTCTAGGAATGACAACAGAAAACTATGTAAATTACTTCTTTTACCCAGAGA